GTTTTGTAGGAGCTTTTTGATTACAGATTTGAAAACATCGTTGTTTGCTTTAAAAGTAGCACAATTCATTATGTCCAAAACCTTGGAAAGTATCTAGATTATCCCTGCCCTAATGCCAAAGTAAATATCAACTGAATGTGTCGCCGTTTGATGTCTAGGTCTGGACCGCTGCTTAAAAAGGATGGTTTCTTGCCCCGTTACTTCTCTTCTTACTTCTATAAGATAAAACACGGAGGAGGGAGATCTCTTTTTCTCCCCCTCTTCTGAGACCCCAGCAGCTGATCTCAGAGCACGCTCCCGTCTCCTGCAGGGGGGCGTGGTCAGCTGCAGCTCACAGAATCGGCCTTTTCTTTAAATATAATTTTAAAATGTCGATACAGTAGGCCCTTTTTAAATAGTTTTTATAGGTGTTGCTATCTGTTTTGTGTAGCGTGGTTCTACAAGCAAGTCAGTGCATTCTTTGGTTGGTATCAGAGAGTTACAAGGGTCTGTAAATGCAATGAAAACATTTGGCCACAGCAAATCATTTATATTAAACATGTAATTTTTACTTTTGAATACTTCACTACAAAGGATGTATTGATTAATTTTTGAATACTTCACTACAAAGGATGTATTGATTAATGTAAGTGATATATATGTACACATAGGCCTATACATCAAAACAGGGCTACATTTGATTTAATTATAAAAGGTATAATGTGGTAAACTGAAGAGCCGTTTGGGAGCCGAAAGAGCCGGCTCTTCTTGAGGAGCCGAGCCAAATGATCCGGCTCACCAAGAAGAGCCGGAATTCCCATCACTATCGCTCACTGTCGCTCGACCATCCACAAACACATGCAAAAGCCACACCCCTCTCTCTCTATCTCTCTCTCTCTTAAAGGGACAGCGATCTCATCTCACTCTGCATGACCCGACGCGACCCTAATATCATAACATGTGTGCTCTGGAGAATCACAGAACGGACGATCGTCCTTATTATTATTATGCCGTTTAAACCAATTACTTGAATTTGTTTGCTAAATTCGGCATCGTGTATGTTGCGACACTGCTTCCCCGCAGCGAGGCTCGCCCGCCCTCCCGCTGATAGTTGACGAGCGTCAAGCTCCTCAACCCACCCACCCCCCCCCACCTCCGTTGATAATTCTCGATAGTTGGCACGGTGATAACAATTTTTTTTTAAATGGCACTTCATATCAAAAAGGTTGCCGACCCCTGGTCTAGAGTCTAGAGAATAGAGCTGTATTGTAATTAACATATACACATGTATTTAATATATTGACCCACGTCATAGCTTTTGAGTAACGGATGTCAGCTGTTCTGGAATCGGAGAAGCGGATTTCAGCTGGGAACTCAGACACGTCATTGAAACTGTTGATGTGGGGTAGTCCTTCACCCATACTCTTCCATCTAATAAAACAAACAAAGTTACCCAAAAGCACAAAGACATTTCTACAGATAAACTTTGGGCGACAAACGGCAGCTCTACTGCTCACATGGAAACTTACTGGAACAAGCTCTTTTTGAGCATCAGCTCTTTCTTCCGGTGGTCAATCAACAGGGGGTGATCCTCCTCAAAAGCTTTCATTGCTGAGACATGAAAAGAACATTATAGCAGTCAAATTTAAATGTACAAAGCCAACAAGATGTAAAAAAACTGACAATAATTATCTATATTAATCAGTTATTTGGGGACATTGATGCAGACCTCTCCCTCCTCTCAGCTCCACCATTTCTCCCCTGCCAATCCATCTGTAACAGGGGTAAAGAATGACATCTCCTTCTGGAGTCGTCACCACCATTTTGGAGAAGTACCACTCATCTTCTGGGAGACATAAATACTGGTCCTTCTCAACCTTAACCAGAAAAAGTTTGCCCAGAGAAAAACTGGTTTTCACGGTGTAGCTCCCTGTCTTGGAATAAGAATTATAATTGTTATTATATTAATATATACTATTATAATTTAAAAAAAGCAATATCTGCTAAAAAGTCTCAGTCACAGACTATTTGTGTATATTGAAACCAAGCTACAGTCTCCTACAACGGTGTAGTCTGCAAAGTCAAAGCTTCCTTATGGTAAACTCAAACAGAATATACAGTTAATGTATATATTGCCATTTACAATATAATACAGTTGAACACATATTATGATGTATTGCACATTGAAACTGAGATATTTGGTACAACGTAATGAAGGGAAGCATTTTAAGTCTAAGCCTCAGCCAAAACCAGATTATCCTTTAAAAGTGTGACTTAAAAAAAAAGCAAAATGTATAATTTAACGGTACCATAAATGTGAAAGACCATTAGATTGTGTTTATATCATTTCTGCATATTGAGAGTAAGAGTTATAGCAGTTAACGTCACATAGATCACACGTTGAAGTAGGATTTGTGAATTCTAAATGATGACTTAAATCTAAAGTGCTTACTTGATGATGCAATCTGTTATTTACAGACAAGTGCAGATGTTTAACTGGGTTGTACTTACTGCCCCTCTTTGAAAGTCGATGCCATAGTTGTCCATCAAAGTTCGCTCACTCTGCTCCTCAGTTCCAAATAAGGTGACATACATGTAGTCCGATGTTCCTGCATATTGCATGTCACCCGTTGTCATCTCTAACTTGTACTCAGCCATGGTTACCTGTGGATACTGTTTGGAAAAATATACACATTTGAGTCTCTTAATTTACAGAATGAAGGCTCCAATATGCAGCAAAACAATGCTGACACTGCCTGTCCATTGTGAACCTTCTTTCATGAAAACATTGTATTAACTTAAAAGTGGGTGTTTCTCCCCAAACAAAGCTTCAATCTAAACATTTTGTTTTTCTGGTTTTCAAAAAAAAAAACACTGAGCCGACAGACAGCCCAAATGTTTGATTACAATGTGCCAATACACACAAGATAACATTATGTTCAAATGGCAAACACAACATTACATAGTAGAGCTCTATTATAGGATTATAGCATTCATCTCATCATCAAAAGAAAGCTGCCTGTTTACACTGTTCTTTAGCCCAAAGTTAAATACTATATAATAATACACCAAGTGTTCAGCTACTGCTTTATTTCCTAGTGTATGATGTATTTAGATTGTCTAAATATTAAGAAAAGTGAAGAGTCATACTATATTTAAAAAGGTGCAAAACATATTGATGGCCTTTGATGTTTTGTACGTACTTTAATTGAGCTGTGGGATCATCAAAAGAGAGATAACAATCACTAAACTAGAAGAACTACTAAGATGCAAGCTCCTCCAGCCTGATTTTCTACCTTTTTGTTGTATCTCTGGTTTTCAATGGTTTGAGGGCAAGGAGCATTACATGCACAAAACCAGTCATTATGGCACCAACACATTGGGACTTTAGAAGAAGTGTTGGACAAGCAGTTTCACAGAGATAAAAAAATTGACGTCTAACTATAGGATGCGCGGCATAGTCACATTTGAAGGACTTAAACATTTATATGATAGCCAGTACAAATTGAGGCTGACCTCATCACCCAAAAGAACATTCAAATCCCGAAAAAACTAAATTCTACTACCTTTTCTAAATTGACATTAATTCTAAAAATGTAATATTTATCTGTCCACGGTTCCCTGCAGAATGCGAAGCTGATGACGTGAAGACCACTGTAGTGACAACCTGGATAAGTTCCTCCACAGTCTGAAGGCTTGAAGGAAATCCTGTCAAGAATGTTTGGTGAGCTAAAACAAGAATGCTGAGACAACAGTTACGTGTCAACATGCATACATCCTGCTCATGCATCCTGGTAGCTGCAGCCAAGGCACACATGATGACAACATTTCACTAGTTTACACTGAACTTGCTGCACAGAAGCAGCTTGTGATACACGTTTCTTATGCAGCACGGTTTGTGTTGAGGAGTTTTGTTTGCCACATAAAATGCTGCTACAGTTTCTGCTAACCTCCCTCTGCTCATTCTGACCGGACTTAAGAAAAGAAGCTAATTTGATAGTGTTAAGTCTTTGTTAGATTAATAATTGTATTCGATGACCATACAAACCGTAGCCTTATACTGTACTAAAGGTGATATCTGAAGTTGCCGAACATAATCTGTAGGGTAACAAAGCAATGGAGTAAAAGTCTCATTTTACTAAACACCTGTGCCTCAAGTTTCCTTCAACCCTTATATCAGGAAAACCTACTTAATGAAGATATTTGCCGTTTGTCTTTACAATTTTAACCATTTGGTTTTAGAATACTCGCAGTTGAACGGTTTGGTGAAGAGATGCAATCAACAAAAAAATATATATAAATATGTGAAACTTTACTTTCAAGATAAGATTACAGTATCAAGATGGCAGTACATTGGACAACAAAGTGACAGCAGGTTGTTTATTTGAGCCACAGTTTAAAGTATTTTCTTGGTCAAATACCAAGATTAAATTCCTGGACTGTTTTCAATTTCTTTTGGGTTCAAATAATTAAAAGGCAGCTCAAGCTTTGCGTTCCTCTTGGTAATAGCCACACTGAGGGAGGACAGCTCTGCTTGAAAATCTTCGATCATCTGTAAGGCTGCAGGCTCAGCAAAGCGTTGCTCAGGATAAGTACCGAGGGGTTCCTGGCGGGGACAAAATCCAAATGTTATGCAAGGGAATGGGAAATCTTTGAAAAGGTAGAGTTACTGGTTTTGTGATTAATGTAACGCAGGATACTCACAAAATCACTGAAATTCCCCCTGAACAGCCATCCATATTTCATTGCAAGTATTGCGTTTGATTTTTTGGGCAGATATGCCAAGATGTCCTCCATGCTTGACTGTTCCTTTGTAGTTGGAGGAGCTTTGTTCAGGATAAGTGGACCATTGGGAATCCAACCTAGATAGTCAAACTTGAAAAAACAAATATTGAGGGTTAAAATAAAAAAGGTATAGTTTGCCATCAATAAATCTAATTTGTTCTCCTAATTTCTTTATGGTAGAGATGAATGTTGAATTACTTTAATCTCACCCATAATGTTACCAAGTAAGCCGTTACTGCTCACAACTGAGCCAGCCAGCTATAAATGTAAAATGTTGCAATTGTATTTTTACACTTTGTACAAAACACAAGAGGTGCAATACTAAATCATTGAACTTTAGGTTATTGTTAGTGGTTTTGTCTTCTTTGACTCTGCTTAATGTACTTTATAGCATCTTTAGCTCAAGGGGAAATCAATATCTCCTAATCAGAGGGTCAGTAGTCTAATCCCCAGCCTCTTCAGTAACACGTCAACGTTTCCTTGGGGAGGATACTTTACCCCAGATTGCTCCCATAGGCATGTCTTTGTATAGGAGTGTAAGTTAGTCACGTTGACATTAAATGAACAAACGCAAGGGTGCTATCCGTCTTTTCATACAACTTCGAACCGGAACGCAAAAAAGGCCCTTTCCCGAAAAAAACTAAAGATTCTTCTTTTTAAAATTCACCCAACACATGATGTTTTGTGTACATACTGTAATGGAGCTGTGGGATCAACAAAAGATGTTCTACCTTTTTGTTGTATCTCTGGTTTTCAATGGTTTGAGGGCAAGGAGCATTACATGCACAAAACCAGTCATTATGGCACCAACACATTGGGACTTTAGAAGAAGTGTTGGACAAGCAGGTGTACAGAGATCCAAACACTGACGTCAAACTATTGGATGCACGGCATAGTCGCATTTGAAGGATTTAAACATTTATATGATAGCCAGTACAAATTGAGGGTGACCTCATCACCCAAAAGAACATTCAAATCCCGAAAAAACTAGATTCTACTACTTTTTTCAAAAAATGTAATATTTACCTGTCCACGGTTCCCTGCAGAATGTGAAGCTGATGACGTGAAGACCACAGTAGTGACAACCTGGATAAGTCCCTCCACAGTCTGAAGGCTTGAAGGAAATCCTGTCAAGAACGTTTGGTTAAAAGCCTACTGCACATTTCTCACAGAGCATCTCATCCTACTTTTGTATATTTTTAAAAATCTCAAAATGTAATAAGCAGCTTTTGTTTTTACATGCATTCATCATTCTACTTACTGTCTATTTCAGAATGTGATACTTAGTTGAAGTTTCTTCAATTTTGTTTTACAGCAAACATCATCCAATCAAGATAAAGCCTTTTGGAAAGATAGATTATCCATTTAAGGCAAGTTCAAACTTAATGTGAAGGGAGGGGGTTGACTTGGTGTCTAAAGCCAATTTACATGATATTCTACAATCTGTCTAACAAAAAAAGGACTACTGCAGGTCCTTAGGCTTTTACATACACATGTAAAAATTTCAAAAGGAGCATACAACAACAAATAAATATACCTGAGTCATAATTCCCCAGAAATCCATGATAAAATATCTCATTGATCCATTCCTGGAGCTCAGAATCTGCAGACACTTCACTGTCAGATGGATAATAGTATGCCACCATTGACTGGATGAAGCTGAGGACAACAATAAAATGTACCAGTATCAGGATGTGAATTGCATTTTCCCATATCTATGAGTGTGACACCTTGAGATTGTTGCTTCAATATCCAATTTAAAGTCCAGAATATTAATACTTAAAGTTTTAATATGTGTCCCCCTATTTTGTCTAATGTGGCATATCATGGCATTAATCCTCAAACACCAGGGTTGACAGCTATCAAGCAGAAAGTCACCTGTTGATGATGCTCCACAGCCTCAGTGCATCATCTCTGAAATGAAAGTTGGGGATGGACTCCAGTCCTCTAGCTGCGATGTTTTCCGGCAGGCAGAGGGAGCTGTAGGTCGTTCTGGAGAGCCCCCTTCTCATTAGTTCTAGTTGTCCCTCTTTATCAAGTGAACTCTGAAACAACAAATACTGGCTACATTTCAAATGCACAAATGTGTAATTTCATTTTCTCTACATAACATTTCTCACCGTTAAAACCCCAAACATATCTGTAGAGGCTAAGCCAACGCTTTAAGCCTCTGAGGATCCGCTATGTTGGCGTAATTGACGCACACAAAGTTTGCCAGGTGAATAAAAGTCTGATACAAAGTTTCCAGTTAAATACAGTCCATTTATTTCCTTTTGACTGGTGTCCATTTAATTTGCTTCATTTTCTCACAGAAAAGCCCCCACCAAGTGTCAGCAGAAAATAATTCAAATAATTCCAAAGAAATGCAAAACAAAATAAATCTTAAAATACATTTTAAGATCATGTTTAATCATCCAATTTGTCTGTACATTGCCGTTTTAGTCTGTGTTCTTCTAATTAGCGTCTAAAGTGTGCATATTGAGCCGTTTTGAGCGACGTGGGCACTGTGCTGACATGCCTACCAAACGTCATCTCATAATTCAGAGAGCTGATTGGCTGCAAGTACGTGTGCCGCGAAAATAGTAGTTGCTTGTGAAGAGGAGACGAGAGAAAGGAGCGTATGGCGATTCAAATCAGTCAAACTGAAAGAAAATTAATGAAGTTGACCATCTACTTCAGCTTTGGTAAGTTCATTTAAGTCATATCTTTTGTTGATCTTCTGTGTTTTGCCTATAGGCTATTGCTCTGCTGGATCGATTGATATTGTGACCTCGGGGATGAGTGTCTGTGATTTCCTTTTACCCCCCGCCCCTCTCTATCGGAACCATGGATAGCCTACAGCCATTTGTTTACGTGTTTAAAAAAAAGCATCAGAAGCATAACATGTGTGTATATATACACACATACACACGTTGTTCGTGCCCCACCACTTTTGTACATATAAAAACGCCAATGAATGATTGTATTCCCGTGTTTGTTCTCCATGTGGTCAAACACTGTATGGCCTTCCGGCAGAACCTCTAACCACAAACATTGGTTCCTACATTTATACCCACTGTGTTAATTGGCTCCTACAATATCTTTTTGACTAACTTCCTTGTTTTAAAATGTTTTGTATGTCGAGTTATTGCACACTGGGACAGGGTTGCACTCTGAATCTCGTTGTATTTTTGTACAATTACAATAAAAGGCTTTAAATATCTTGATCAAATAAATAAAGTTAAACAGTTATAGAAAATTGACTGTTGTTTAAATTGTTAATGTATGATTTCCATTTAAAAAAAAATATATATTAAAAACTCATACCTTTGAAAAAAATCCACCAGGGCCTAAAAGATTCTCACGAGCAATTATGTTTATAGGAATGGTAAATCGGTGATGGGGGGTCAGCAGCTGTAAGAAAGGAGACATAGGTGACAGTGATGAACCTACTTTAATCAGCTCAATGATATTACAGTAAACACATCTCATATGGCCTGCAACTCTGCACTCAAAATAATAAATAGGGCTTACCTTGCGCAGGGGGTGATTATTTGGGAGGTTGCGAAGTGTCGCCATTGTAAAAACTTCTGGCAGTAGATGAGTCCTCAGCAAATGACTGACTAATATGTGATGGAGGGCATCTGCACTCCTTACAAACATTTTGGCCAGCATCCAGTCAGACTCCGAGTCGGTAGGCAGGAAAATTGGGTTCTCCTCTGAAGGCTGCTGACTGAGCTGAGGGTGGGGACAATTTTTTATTTTGCAGAAGGTATTCAAAAAAAATAACTGACTTGAGATTAAATCACGAGATATGAGAAACCTGAATTGCAATGGGGAGTAGTTTCTTCTGTGGATTTAGGTAGAGCAGGCAGAGAGCAGGCGTCACCACAGTGGGTTTACCATCAATAACTTTTGTGTCAAGACCTTCCATGATCTTGTAATCACTAAGGAATATATTGCCCTCCTGTAGGAAACAAATTATTATAAAACAGATAAGTGCCAAGTGAGGACAATGTTTAACACATTTAAAAAAATAAAATGTAAAATACACTGGAAATTCACTTCACCTTCATCTCTGCATTCAAAGAACTTCCTATGGCCAAAAAAGGTTGAACCATTTCCTCTGTTAAGGGGAAGTTGGATGGCAGCTTTGAGCAACGTTGAATTATGAAGGGGTTGTTTCCATTGAGAAACTGGTGTCCAAAAAAGTCATCATCCTTCCAGTGCTCCGACACATACTCTGGGACATAAATTATGTGTTAGTATAAAAAGGTGTTTAACAGAGCAGTGAAACACTTTACTGAGATCCTACCTGCCAATGGTGTCTTTTTAACCAATGAGGCCATCTTTAAGGCCTCAAAGCTTTCAAACTGCTGATCTAAATCTGTCAGACCTTTTAGTTCGAACTCAGCATGTCTGGTTAAAAGAGAAGAAAAGAAAAAAAGAGAACTCACTTGTTATTGCACTGGATATTTGTTTTAGACACTTGGTCTTCAAAATAAGGTACGTTAGGGCACTTACATTTCTTTTTTGGTTTTTTGGATTTCAAAGGCCCTTGAGAATGAAATCCTACTTTCTGCAGGAAGAGCATTCACATCTTTGATGTCCACCATGTATGGCAACCCTTCTGCATACAAAGCCCATCTGCAGTGTAAAACAGGAAATAAAAAGATACAAAAAGATATAAATCCCAATCAACAGTCATTGAGGTGCATCTTGGTATAATGCAAAATTAAGTTGATTGAAAACTCACTTGTACATTATTTTTTGTTGAACCAATTCTTTTTTCCGTTGGTCTACTAGTTTAGGATGGAGATCTTCAAAAGCCTTTGTAGCTGTGTGTTTTCAAAGAAATACATGTACATTCTTAAATGTGCTTAAAATGTACGTGACGTAGCGTCTAACAATTTGGGAATGACTTCACTAACCTCTTCCCCCTCTCAACAACACAAACTCCCCCTTGGAAAGCCAACGGTGACAGGGGAAAATCATTTCATCCCCCTCAGGTGTTGTCACCACTATTGTGGAGCAAAACCAATCCTTTTCCAAAGGATCTTTCTCCATTTTTAGGAAGAGAAGACATCCCAACGTAAAAAGTGTAGTCACAGCAAACGTTCCCACCTGATGTTGTAAAGGAAGATGCATTCAGGATTCAATATGGGCGTATACCAAAACAGTTTCTCCCAAACAGTTTCCACCCTTAACTTTTGTCCTGAATTCAAATAAAATGCTGGAACTCCTTAATAATGTTAAGAGAAAAAAGATATGGACTATTACAATTCATTTAGTTTGACCAATTACCTTTCCATTTGTATCATCCAATCCCAAACTCGTCAACTGAGTGCGCTCCGATTGCCTTTCAGTGCCGATCAGGGTAACATACAGGTTATCAAGTGTGCCTGCATGCAGCATGCTTCCTGTGGTCACTTTCAGAGTGTACTCTGCCATAATGCCTGGCTAGCTACAACAACTGAAACACAATGGATAACAAACAACAATGATTACATGCAGTACATAGCTTTTCTCCACTCCAAAACATTCAAATATGACCGCATCCAACATGCACAATCATGAGTGTTCTTGTTGAACTGATAAAGCCCCATAGACAGGTAACCCACCTTTTCAGTTGAACCACCACACAGGTGTAGCAGGACTTTGATTGAGCAATTTGAAAGGAAATCACAGGTGTTGAGCATTCCCTAATCAAGAGTGTTGAGACCTCAGAGTGAGTTGTTTTCTATAAGGTCATTCCATCAAAGAGGCCCAGAGTGAGAATCTGTCTTAAACACATTAACACAGTAAGGAAGTTAAGTTGCTCTTATTATCACTATTTAGAAGTGCCATTCATAAATGTATCTTTAGGTAACTTTTAAGGTATCTTAATTCATTCAGAAGTGACCAGCAGAGGCCGCAGCTACACACATGCCATATCTTGGAAATGATTAATAAAAAGGATGACCGCACACCAAAACAACATAGAAAAGTGAACAGGTTAAGCTTTATTAAAATGTAATGTTCACATGTTTGTTTGATTCTTCATAATGTTCATAGTTTTTACCACATTTACATTGGTTTGAGGCTTTCTTCAGAATAATGGAAATATATTGTCAGAAAATCTGTGAGCCACGTAATAAGATTTGGCTGATAATACATGCAATTACCAAAACTGTCTATGTTTGGTATGATAATATGGTATTGGTGTTTTATAGAAATTATATAAGAAGGAAAGATCTTTATGTAACCAGCTGAGATCAGGTATTTCACCATTCAGTGTTGAAACTGGACGGCATGTCAGAAGAAATGTGGATGTGTTCAATGCTATGTCTTAATCATATTAAAGATTTCAGTTTGTTTTCAAATGGAAAATTGGATGTCAACATATAAAGCAAGACAATAAAATTTTACAGAAAAATATATATATTTAAAAAGGTAGGTTAAGATATTTTCTTTTTAATAAGGTAGAACAACAAGGAAATTGTGTATTGAATAACTAAGGAGTGATTTGAGGAATTCAACAAATACTTAGAAGGCTATAAAGACTTTATTAAATGGTAGTAAATCACATGCGTTGTCAGGCTGTCCTCACATTAATATCCATCTGTTTTGACTTATGTCCTGACACACCTTGGGTTGACACCCGCTATAGGGATCAGAAAGACTGAACATTTATGGTCACATCAACAAAGAAAGGATTAGCTAATCTTGTGTAAAGTACTGGCAAAGCTTCTGTAACACAGAGATAATGCAACATAACCAACAATCTGCTTTTCCCCAATGGCTACTACTCAAAGGCAAACAGTTATACAGTATATCTTATAGAATCATATCAATCTATTGTGCATATTTGTCTTCAAAAAAAAAAATATTTTCATCTAACCAGAATAAAGTGGAACTTTTAGCACAAATCCTCGTCATAGGGACACCCACAAACACAGACCTTCATTGTGAAAAGCATGGTGTGATTTATTCAAGGCTTCCTCATAAGTGAATTACAGGTAGAGTTATTTGTTTTAATGACAGAAAATCTATTATTGCAACATCCACATATTCCCACAGTGACTCCCGTGCAGAAGCAAGAGGCGAGCCGCGTTGAGTCAGGTGTTAATGTGACGCAGGACGCGGCGCAGCGACTGTCCATCTCGTGCAGTGCACATGGCAGGAAGGGGAACGGGCTCCGTCTTGTGCTCTGCTGTGTTGAAGTGACACTTCTTGAGATGGTTCGACATGCTGGGGAGATCATTGAAACCCCATGATGACACCGGGCTGAAGGCAGTGCTGAATCTCCACACCTGCATAAATAAATAAAAAAGGATTACTGAATGAAGAGGTCAATGCATACTAATCATTTTGTGAAGCTGCATTCCCTTCTTTTGTTACAGCATCCAAAATGTTATCCTAAACAAACATTATATATCAGTGATGCAAACACAGCTATGGTGAAAAAATAGAGAACTATTCGAAGCAGAAAAAAAACAGCGTAATATACCATCTGACAATGACAGATTTTTCTTTTTGGATATTTTACAAATCACTCCCCTTTCAAACTCTATTCTTGTTATTTTTAACAACTTATAGTATTTTATACCTGTTAATAATTGAGTCTCTAATGTCTCATTAATAACTATAATGATCATATCAAGGTGTGCCTTAACCTCACTGAGCTGAGGTTATTTGAGCCTCTCAGGAGCGAGCTCTCTTCCACCTGGTTGTAGAAAAGCTCTTTAAATTCGTTAGCATAGCTAGCTAAGCAGATGCTAATAACAACAGATCGCCACTGTGCTTACAACTAAAGACACAGCCTCGCAAACACTGCGGCATGTGTACGGCTCCTTATGGGTACTGCAATATTTGAAGAGCTGGAGCAGCGTTCCGATGCTCTCCGTTACACCTTCCAGACGAGACATAACCACGTGAAGACCTATGGTGAAGACACGTTACGTCGTGTTGTGTTCAATGAACCTGTCCTTGGCCAGGAAAAACAGGCACTCGCTTGTTTAATTATTTTGCGATCTAGATTTCTTCTTCTTTTTTGAAGTGAGAAGTTCGGACTGACGGACCCACCCCAAAACGAAAACTCTTCGGTTCTCCACGAATTACACAAGTCACCCAAATCAGCGTTAAAAAAGCGGGAGGCGCCGAAAAGCGACTAATTTGCATCACTGATATATGTTAGGGGCACCCTCCTGAAAAATCTATCTATTTCAAACAGATTTGAAGTAATTATTCTTTAGTCTATGTTGGCTATGTATAATATTGTAGCATTTACTGTAGAGCTCCATCAGCTATTGGAAATGTTTCCTTTTGCAAAAGCACTTTTCTCAGATTTCAGATACAGATTAAAGGAAATATTAAAAATAACTGACATACAGTAACTTTATAATACAGGTTTTCTACTCACTCTATTTTTTATTTGCCATGATACATTGCCAGGGGTACCAGGGCAACGTCTTCGCTCCCATTGCAGCTCCACTATGCCTCTTATCTGGAGGAGGCTGGCACACACCTCCCTCATAGTCCGTGACACCAGAGACAGCTGGCACAGGCTGAAACTGTCCAGGAACCCAGCTATATGCCACAATATCTCACTGGGAAGCCCACTAAGTTGGTCCGACTGGAAATCAACAGGAAGTTGAGCCCCTGGGCAAGGCTGAACCCCAAAGGACCTGAGGTGCCTGTCATGAACCACTTTGGCCCCCTGGGTGGATGGGTAAAACCTTCGCTGAGAGAATGTGCAGCCATAGTATGCCAGCGGGCAGCGGTGCTCCATCCAACCATTGAGACCAGCGTGAATGTCACCATGGACATTTATGAAATGGGAAGAAAACTGGTCCCTGCGCAATGACTGACCACAGACGAAAGGGAACATATGCTGGTAGCGAGGGTTAGGAGGGAGGTAGCGGTTATGTGGGACTGCCTCGACCTCCAGAGCTTCCAAGACAAGGCAGAGGCGGAGAGTGCGGAAAGGGCTGGGGTAGGAAAGCTGGGGGGCCGCATGGTCACAGGCAGATGCAGAAGCTATGTCCCCCACTCTAGTGTTGGTAACCAAGATGGCTGCAGGGAAAGTGAAAGTCTGTGTGCCAAAGTCAACACGGTAGCCATCAACATAGACTTTGTCAGAGATCCTTCTACACTCTCTGGACTCCTCTAAACAAAAGAACAGCGCTGCTGTGATAAGATCGATTTCTCCCAGACCCATGGGGTCTTCATCCTGCTCCAAATCTGAGGTATCTACTGCCTTGTCCTCCATTTTCGGTCGCAATCTATACAGTGACCTGTCTGGGAAGTAACCTTTCCGTCCATTAGGTAATGAACATTGGCCCCTAAAAAAATTGTAGTTGTGAAATTTACGATCATGCCCATGGTTTTCTAAAAGAGCTAGCCCCCTGTCTTCAAGCAACACATGACCAGCGCTCTGTGCCACTCCCTGTCTGACATCCCCCGGAGATGCCATCTGAGGGGTGACGGGCTCCTGAGAAACCCCAGCGTTCATGTCTTCTTGAACCTCAACAGGAAAGGCCTCCATTGCTCCCGACAGTCGTCCATTTGCAGGTTTTAAAATCTTTGGATCTGTTCCGTTGAGAGCCCCATTTCCTATCAAACAGCTAGAACAGACACTTTGTACCTCCATGTCTTTTTTATTTAAACCATCAGTGGCTACTGGTGTTTTGATTTCTAGTTCATTCTTAGGGTCTCCATTGTCGCTCAATGTACTCATCGGAGTAACAGCTCCACTGTTCACACACTCTGTGCTGCTGTCAACAGAGTTGGCATTGCTAACAAAGTCCAAAGCAGCAGCTAAGCTTCTTGCCGTCTCCACTGTGGCCTCGTAGAGTTTACCGAAGTGCTCCTCATTCAAGCCATTAATTCCACTGGCAATTCTCTCCTTTGCCAAAACTGACGGGGGAGGTTGTGGCTGGTGTGAGGATGATGAGTGTGAAGCTGTATCAATAACGGTGGAGGCCTCAGGGGCAGATGTAGGCGAAGATGAGTCCGTTTCCCTGTTTTCCTTACTAACAAGGAGAAACGGCTCTCCTTCTGCAGTGGGTGACATGGCAATCACTTTGAGGGACTCGAGTAGTGTACGCTGGTCCTGAAGAGCAAGTGCCATGTCTAGCTGCTCCACCTCCTCCACTCCACGGCTCAGGCTTTCATAGGAAGTGTAGTCCAGGCAGCTAACGGGCCATCTGTTCCACTCCATAGTGCAGCACACCACTCCTGCTGGACACACATCGAGGTGAGCATACATTTGGTTACGCACCAGGTTGGCGGGGCAGCCATAGTCTCTGTTTAGGCAGGGGACCCTCATCAGTGGGCACATAAGGTGGTGCTCAACAACTTTGCAGGAGTGAAATACAGCCCCACACACTAAAGGACAGGTCATAATATCACAAGAAATGTCTGGTTGAGTTCTGAAGTTGCATCTCTGATTGAAGCAGGACCTACAGTGAACATGATCTTCCTCCATCTTCAGACTCAAGGGGTGGAAGATTCTGAGTGTGAGAAAATCCACTGTCCTGTCAAATAAGCAAAAATAGCAAATATTGTCAGTATATGATGGGATAAGACAAAAAAACAGAGAGCACGGCTTCAATTTGTTGTGTCAGATCTTCTGTTGCATGATGACTTTGTGATAGTAGTGTTTTAAAAAAATGTGTTGCACACATATAAGGTTTGGTGTAGTAGCAGGGATGTTAGCCCACTTGTAAATGGCTGCTATATTTACTTCAGACCACCAGATGTCAGTCACATTGCTTGCTGAGATCTGAGCCCAGAGCATACAGTATTAATTTGGAACAAATAGGAAGAAATATAAAAAAGAAATCTTAAGGTTTTGTCCAATCAAAACATTTATATCTGATTGTGTACAGAGTGCTTGTGGGATTTCCTATCATTAGTATAAAAGGGCAAAGCTTGATGAGTTCTTGAAGACATAGTGTGAAAATAATTAATGATAAAGATAAGTATTACAGTGCAATTAATGCTGAATATCTCAGATATATAATATATATATATTTATAACAGACATAAAGGACGTTTATTGACCATTTATTTCATTACATCTAACATGGTTGCAATTGTATTTGGATAATTGTGCAGAGATACTACTGAAAAATGTAAACTTCTGCAACTGAGATGCACATCTAAGATGCTACTGCTGAAATAACACAGAAACTGTATTCTGTTTCCATAACCATTTTATCAACAATATATTAAGGGCATTTATATTCTGTCACTTTTACGAATCAGTCATCGGTCACTTTACGAATGCAGCTTGCATGGACATTGTCAAAATACATCATCTAACGTTAAGTAGTCACTGAGCCATAAACCGCATACATTTTTGTCATAACTAAATCCTGAATTGTTGCGAGATTGAGCATGCAACGATTCTGTTTAGTTGTAAAGATTAAATCAGTTTAACTTAACAAGTAGCAAAAACAGAGCGCATATACAGATGGCAACCGAAGTAGCTTCCTACCAGGAAGACACAGTAAGTCGATTGTAACTAGCTTCACCTTAGACCTTTAAGTTTACTTAGCACAATCAGCACTGTATTAAAAGGAACCGACGATGAAAACATAAGCTTTATAAACAGTTAACAATAGTTTTGTATGCCACCGTACCTGTTGTCAACATTTATGTCGCTGTTAAACCAACTTGTTTTGAAAACAATGGCAAGCTAGCTATCCTAGCCGGCTAATGTTGGCTAACAACAGCTCGGAAGTTCACAACAAGCTAACAGCGAGCTAATGTTAGCATGGAAGTAGTTCCTCACCTTATCGTTGCGTTGGTAGAAAAATTTATTCTGAGATGTGTATTGTTGCTATATATAAATACAACTAGCTGTTGCTGTAGTTGTCTCCTTTCAGAAAATGCTAATGACAGCTATTAACTACAATCCTTGTCATCCAGCCCCTTTTTTTCCCTGTTCAAAACTTTATTGACCAAGATGTTGAAACATTTACAGTATAATTAAAAGGCCTGATGGCTCATATCGACATTATAAAACGTCGATAAAAAAGGTAAGAGAGAAAAAATAACATAATTGTATTATATAGATATACACCGAACCGCTTTGTAATAAAAAAAAAATACAATAATGTTAAATCAGATTTGTATTATATAGATACAGACCGAACCGTCTAATACAAATACAATAATGTCAAATCTGGAAGGTATGAGTTGTCAATAAAACGTTGTGCATGTGTCAATAAATTAAACATATCCACCAATAAAATCTAATAATTCAGCTAAACGTTACATTGAAATTACCCTCTGCTTCCTATAACAATTGTATCTTCACCAAACAGTTAAAAAAAAGTGCTTTTAATTTAAATGAGTTATACAAATCTGAATTACATTTCTTTGAGCTGTTCATTTCGACTTGGTCTACTTAATCCTGTTTAAAAAATATTCAACAAACACTGGATTAAATGTTTAATGATATACTTATTTATATAAATAAAACTCAAAAGTTGTATTAAATAAACTTAATTATTAAACGTCTTTCTTTATTTATTGAAAAACAATGAACATGCAGTAACCAGTAACAACCAGAAGAGGGCAGTGTCCTCTTATTGTTGCTAAACGGCCTCCTGGCGAGTAGTGGTTGGACTTCTGCAGTTAACTGAGCCACTTTTGGAGGTCGGGGTCACCGACAAAGCAGCCCCCCTGAAGCTGGGAGGGCTGACTAATTGACACATCAGCAGGACAGTGCTTAGTAATACTGAATACACTTGTCATGAGGTGTTGAAACAAGTCCATGCAGTCAGTGGGACCATCACCATTTACATGATTTAAAAATAAAATGAACAATGAATTGACAAAGATTTCTCATACAACTCTTAATACATTAAGCTAATAAGCAGTTGCCGACATACATTTTACAACAACTTTAGCTGTATTAGATTAAACCTGACTAAATGTGGATTTTGCATTATGACAGCATTTGCAGACAGGTTTTAATGTGATATTTGCATATTTGATTTCCCACAAGACAAAGAATTGTGTTATTGAAATTATTGTTTTACTGGTTCATATATAGTATGTTTGCTTCATTTAATAAATGGCCTTTTTAAAGTTGCCAGGCAACTATAAAACAATCTGATACTTGAATCCTAATGTTAAGGCCAGCATTGAAAGTATGATAACAGACAACTAAAAGGCCTTTGACTGATTGATACTAGCCTGCACCAAGATTACGGCAAGCAATCCATAGACTAAAATAGACTTCTACAAAATGTTGTTCAAAACATTCTCTCCTGAACAATACTAGCCAACATCACCAACAATTATATTACAGCTTAAGTCAACGCACACTTGCGGTCAACCCACGCAGACAGCAGTCCTAGAATAAACCGAGTACCGCTGTCGCCCTTTGCCCTGAAGTGTGGCTGCAGTATCCAAGTAGTCTCTGCTTCCCAAACATGTCACTTTTATTCAGGTTCAATATCAGATGAGGCCTCCTGAAGCCCCGAGCACCAGCAGTGGCAGTGTCATTGCGACTCTTTTATACGTTTATTTGTGATTTATACCGCCTGGCATGAGTCACGACAGGACCCTACCAAGTGAACTGCATGGCCCCCAGGAATGAGTCGTGTCTTTGCCTGGACTCATCCAGTCTTCATCACTGATGGGCTGATTAGTTTCAGAACTTCAATTTACAACTGGTACAGGGGGGGGTAAACTCCTGCACTTGGGCAATAAATCAGTGATATAGCCTACTCAAAATATATATTTAAAATCATTTCTTTTTCAATGAAATAGGTGTTGTCTCATGTCTAAGTCTGTTTAGGCCTGCTTAAATGCCATCAATGATCTCCATTCAAACTCTAGATGGCGCAATGCAAACTGTAACTGCTGTCCATGGTGCCGAAAACATCCATTGTGGAAGTCAGGTAAACTCAAATAGTGAACATATCATATATTTATTACGAGAGACAGGGGTGCATGTCGTCATGTCTGCGTGTTGTAAGTGTTTGACAGTTTAAAACCGTATAAACACCCAATACATACACTCAAGAGCTCAGCTGTCATATAATTAATTGGTGGCCTACGCCTGAGAGAGAGACCCGATATCTCTGTCCTTCTCAAAATACCAGAATTATAGATACATCCAATTATTAATTTAAGCAGCTATTTATGATGGGACAGCATTAACGGGATACAATCATTATAGCAGTTATGCAGCTAACCACATTTTTATGATAGTGCTGAAGAGATGACAGTACTGATGTTGTTTAACATCTGTACCACGAACATTTCCAAACTTGCTTGTAAAATACCATGCAAGAGGTAATCATATTACTAGTAATGGCAATAATTCAGTATCCAACTATCTTGCATAGCACCGCAGTTGCTCCACTGATGTAATGTATTATACCTGGCAGCATAGTTCCAGGTTTTTGCAGTCATTTTAGCTCTGATAAAACATTACCCGTCTTAATGCATGTCTTAATATGAATAAGAATTAGACATGTTCTAAAGCAAGACGTGCAAGCATTGGAAGCAAATACTGAAAAGGCGATGGTTAACACGTTCGAGTTGAGAGAGAGAGAGAGAGACCGAGAGAGGGAGAGGGAGAGAGAGACAGAGGGATTCAAGTGATACAGCCGAGGACCACGCGCTACAGAAGACGGACGAAGGCATGTCTCCAGGACTCAGGTAAGTTTTGATGCAACAGACACAGAAAAAGCAGCTTAAACTATGTAAGATGTAAATAGAAGAATGGAAAAAGATAAACAGATTATAGGTTCATCGAGGCATTTGGGAACATACTATTATCTTGAGCTTCTCCCTGCTCTATTATTATTCGTTTATTATCATTATTATTTTAGTATTATCATCAATGAAGGCTACTTTAGATTGCACGGTAGAAACGAATAATGTAAGGTGCGTTTGAAAATAAAAACAACCTTGGCTGTCTTTTATTCGTTCTCATGTAGAATTGAAATAGGTGGTGGCTATGAAAACATGTAGTTTCTTGGCTTTATTTATATATTTATTGTATTTATTTATAGACACTAGCTGAGTCAAATCGGGAGGGATGTCTGTGAGGATGACGAACCTGGGCAACAGTCCCAAAGACGTCCTTGTAATGTGTTTGGAAAGCACGCTGTCCACGGTTCTGAAATCTGTCTGCATGATTTTTCTCAATGGACAGCGAGCACAGCACCTCAGCCTCTCCCGGTGCAAAGTGTAAATAATCGATTGTTTGAGACATTTTAAAGTACCTCGCTGCTCCTTACAGAGCTAACCACCTGCACGGTTGGGCATTTCCCAGTGGATTGCATTCCTGTTCAGCCAATAATGCTCGCTGATCAGGTGGGTGTGAGTTAAATCCCTTGCTCAAAGGCACCTCGATGTGAGCTGATGGGAGAGGCATGACGACTGTTGTCAGCTGTAGGAATGTAAATCAGGGCGTAGATGGAAAGGAGCATGCGTGCTTAGTCAACTCTTCCCACATACCAGTGTAGCACATCTGGCCTGGTTTTCTCCAAGCTTACATTACACAGCAGTTTGTCTTCTCTCTCTGCAGGTGCGCGTGGATATGCCCCGGGTGTCGTGCTCACAAATCATGGTCTCTTGGATAAACGTGGATGTATTGTCAGACAGCAGATAGTATGCCTGCACAGTTGGCACGGATTACGCGATGTGGCAAAATATGGCACGCGTAAAGATGGGTCTCCTCGCTCTTCTGTTTCTCCCCGCGTTTTTCTTCCGCGCCTTCGTGGTCTCCCACAGCAGCATCTATGAGCGGGCGGCGGTCCCCCGTGCGGTTGTCCGCTCCGTGGCTCGTATGGATGGAGACGTGATCATCGGCGCGCTCTTTTCCGTCCACCACCAGCCGTCTGCGGAGAAAGTAGCTGAGCGGAAGTGCGGGGACGTCCGCGAGCAGTATGGCATCCAAAGGGTGGAGGCCATGTTCCACACGTTGGACCGGATCAACGCGGACCCACACCTCCTCCCAAACATCAGCCTGGGCTGCGAGATCCGCGACTCCTGCTGGCACTCCTCTGTGGCCCTGGAGCAGAGCATCGAGTTCATCCGTGACTCCCTCATCTCTATCCGGGATGACAAGGACGGGTCCAAATGGTGCATTGACGGCACCCCGTCCCCCCAGCCTCCACCCAGCAAGAAGCCCATCGCTGGAGTGATCGGACCCGGATCCAGCTCTGTGGCCATTCAGGTGCAGAACCTCCTGCAGCTCTTTAACATCCCGCAGATCGCATACTCTGCCACCAGCATCGATTTGAGCGACAAGACCCTGTTCAAGTACTTCCTGAGGGTTGTGCCCTCGGACACTCTGCAGGCTCGGGCCATGCTGGACATTGTCAACCGATACAACTGGACCTATGTGTCTGCAGTGCACACTGAGGGTGAGACTCCTAATCACTGACCTCTCATACAGTCAAATCACTATATATTGTTGTTGTTGTAGAAATGTCACCTACAATCTCTTCAATGTGCTCAAGTATTAGCATTTAGCGTTTTAGAGAGAAACCTACATTTGTTTTAATATTTCATATAGCATTTGGAAAATATTCAGGATACTTATACATTCCCCCCTAACATACGTTTTACTTGAGAGATAATTATATTTACACTTTCTCCATGTCTCTGTCTCAGTCAGTCTTATCAGAGCAGGTAGTTGCAGCCACACAGACATGTGCCTCCCTGCGTATATCTTCATCATCTTCATAATTTTTATGTTGTCTGGAGATGAGGTTTGATGTGTGGACATTGCTTCAAGCATCTTCCCACGCTTCTAATGCACCATCATGCAGCTTTGTTTGCATTTATTATTTAACGTGTAAGTATAGTGTATGTTTAGTAAACAATGATGTTCTCATCTTTTACCTTTAAATACAATCTTTCAAGGTATCCTCCAACTCTTACTCCTTGGATTTTTTTCACATGCTTTGGCATTGTGGAACCAAAGCTGGAGGTTTTTGACTGTTATTTGTACTTGCGGCAAGTTTTAAAATCAAAGAACATGATTGAACCTTTTGAGCATTAACAATGTAGGTGTCTCTTTAGAAATGTTAAATTAATTTGATGGTTAAGTCAGGAGGGTGAGGCAGGGATGAAAATGAAAGGAATGTTTCAAATCTTTACCAGATTTATGGAAATTAAAATAAATGTCTTATCTCAACACGAACCCTTGCAATAATAGCTTTTCATACTATGATGGGCTAGGTTCACAACTGGTTGGGTAGACAGAGTCATTACTGTGAAGTGAATTATGTCCATAGTTTTTTTTCCCAGTCAGTAGTTTGCACCAAAAGCACAACTGCAGGCTATATTGCATACTTCACTGGGGGTGAAGAACATCTTTGGAAAGTCCCAATATAGTCATCTGATGGCGAGGGGCTTTGACACAGGTTGCTGTCCGATAGATGGAGAGGTCGCTGTAGTACCTGACCACATAACTAGGTGGCGTCAGTTGTCTGACCTTCAACATGCACCTGGTGCCTCTAGGCAGCAACATGATTTACTCAAATGTGAGGGATAAAAGTAAAATAATTTCCAAAAATGTTGCAAAGAACAAATGTGTAAGCTATAGTTGAAATTGTGTTTTTGTTCTTTTAATTGCACACACTGTACATACAAATCCTTACACTTTAGCTTCAATTTCCTAAGAGAAAACAGAGGAGTTTGGAGCAACTTAGTTTCTAACTGAGACTTCACATTCTAATTTGTTTGATGCAGACCTTACTCTGACTCTGAGTCATATGTAAACCCACTTGTTTGTTTAGCTCCATCTCTGAAATAGTGGTCACGACTGGCTTAAGCTCATGAGTTTTCTCCTTCCACCACTGTAGACAAGTTACAAATGCAGCGCGTTCCCTTAGCAACAGCTAGAGCTGTGAAATTGTATAAATTGCCTTTCCTGATTATCATCAGTCTGGTGGGAATACAAAAAGCAGGTTTTTGGTAGTCATTGTCAAATGGGCTGTCAACTAATGCACACACACCTACCTGTCTCACAGCCTAGATGGAAAAAGTAAAAATAATTGCATACCATTATTCCCATTTACCAGTCACAAAATGAAATGAAGCAAAATATCCTCAAAGTACTATTGGAAAACCAACACAGGCGCCCGTTGTGGGCCATAGTAAATGCATTACTGTGACGCCTATTTCATCTATCGTTTTTTACTGCTCCATAAAGAGCCATGCCACAAATAGATGGAGTATTCAGTCTACATCACCCATATTAAGGGACACGGCAGACGCCCCAAGGAACCTGTACTCTCAATAAGGCAATTGCATTTCAAATGTTTTCAGAATTCTGTGGATAGAGGTATTTATTTACTTTTTGACAACACACACACACACACACACACACACACACACACACACACACACACACACACACACACACACACACACACACACACACACACACACACACACACACACACACACACACACACACACACACACAGAGAGAGAGAGAGAGAGAGAGAGAGAGAGAGAGAGAGAGAGAGAGAGAGAGAGAGAGAGAGAGAGAGAGAGAGAGAGAGAGATGTTCAAGCATGCACAAGTGATTGGATTGTCTGTTTAATCCAGCTCTCATGCTACAGAGCTGTGGGCTTTATCAACAATCCAGATCGTGACACAGTAGTCAAGCACTGCGGTCCGCATGGAAATAGAAGATTTGTACTAAAACAGCTTTGCAGGGCTCTTGATTGTGATGCTGTGCAGTTAAAACAAGGATAGCCATCTTCACCTCTTTTGGCTTTGATTGCAATCAGGAGCCAGGAAATTCTCCGACACTCATTACGAGAGGATCTGAATTTGACGCAATAAAAACAACCGCTGAGGGGGGCCGGGGGAGAGGGGTGGTTGTTTTAATGTCACTGTTGGATATTAATTGTCCAACAGTGCAGTAATTAGAAAGTTGAAAGCATTTAGTTATGAAGGCATGCTATGGTTGGCACTAAAACATTTTATTTTCAATTACAATGAGGCACTTTTTAGCGCCATAACCAGTGTATTCACACCATACTCACAATCTGGATACAATGAAAATACATTTTACAAGGAAGATCAAGATAAGGACAGAATGGTTTCCGTCTGAATTCTCCCTGTTTAGTAACGATCCATTTTCTTCCTCACCAATAGGAAACTATGGGGAGAGTGGCATGGAGGCCTTCAAGGAGCTGGCCTCTCTGGAAGGCTTGTGCATTGCCCACTCGGACAAGATCTACAGTAACGCGGGGGAGAAGCACTTTGACCGCCTTTTGAGGAAACTACGGGAACGTCTGCCCAAAGCTCGTGTGGTGGTGTGCTTCTGTGAGGGCATGACTGTCCGAGGTCTCCTGATGGCCATGAGGAGGCTGGGGGTGTCCGGGGAGTTCCTCCTCCTCGGCAGGTATGGATGTGTTGTTTTCTATCGTACCTTTTGATTCACAGTTGACAGCATCTCTGTGGATGGCAAGAAATCGGTTAACAGGCTGGAAGGCTGCAAGATGCTGTGTTGTCTTCCTGATGTGCATGTCACCAAGGCAACGGAGACGTATTAGATCATATTCCTATAGCACTGAATAGAAATGTTCTCCAGCTATGAATAATTGGTATTTCTGTCAAAGACACAAAACTAGAGAGGGAAACAATGCGTCTAGTATATTCTCTACAAGTTGGGCGGTCTCTCTTTTGCTTTTTAAAGGCAATGCCAGTGATTAAAGCATAAGAGAGCAAAACAGCTACTCGTACACGTGAGGACATCAAGAATCAACCGAATTGTCAAACTCTTTTTTTTTTGGATATTCACTCAATATTTTTCTTTCCATTTCACCTCTTTCTTGATTTTCTTTTTGACAGTGTTGAGTGACAGTGGCTGTAGCTGCAATCTATCTGAGTCATTGCAAAAGGGCAGACAGAGCCTTCTCACACACTTACTGTATACAGCGGCACATTACACCATTAAATAGTACTCAAGGGACATTCACACTTGTGAGTAAAATTCAACAACTTTGATGCTCCTTTCAGTTCATTCATGCGACACCTCTCCCCCATCATTTCAGAGAGGGGCGAGGTTTTTTGGCGTTGGTCTGTTGTAGGGCACTTGTCAGCTGCTTGTCACAAGAGGAGTACATTAATAAGACAGCTAAGGATGACTGAGACTTGTAGCCAAGCTAAGCAGTATTTGTTGGAGATAAGCACTGCATGAGTGCAGCTCAGGATTCCAGCCATCATCTTCAAACAGGAGAAATATCCGAGACAATATACTGAATAGTAGCTTCTGTCATTACTGTATGTTCCCTCAGATTTTGGCGCATAGTAGTCGATTGTTTTGTACCTCTACATTTCTTCATAAAAGCAAAAGGTAATTTAGTCATACAATTTTCAGAATATATTGACCATGCCTGATCTTAAAAATATTTTAAGATTACAATATTAAGATGTATTTACCATTGATGTTTAAATAAGATTGAACTGTACATACTCACTGTAGCACTAAATGTGTAATAATTTGCAGCAAAAAACTATTCCCCAACAAATGGGCTGTTTTTCAGTCATGCTCATTTATTTACCCGATGTTTTCTATTTTTAGACCCTCCAGAAAAACGCGATTCTGCGATCGCAGAATTTACCGCATAATCAGCAAAATGGCGCAGATTTTTAAAAGGCCGCATATTTATCAAAAGGCCACATAATCCCCGCATTTTTCCACACAAAGTTGAGAAGAAAAAAAAGTTAACTCGTTTTGACGTGACGTCATCAACTCGCGCATCACAGAATGTAAACAACACTGTATAGAGCTCATTTACCAACGAACATTTCTACTAAAGACCGGGCAAAAAGTGGGGGGAAACTATTCTGCACCCCGTGCAACTGTGTGTTGGAGCATAAGAGAAAATCGACGGTGGCGACCCACTTTGATTCATTCAAACATTCGAAAATGCTTTCTGCTGCTGCGGACAAGAAAGCCATTCAACTCACGTTCACCGAGGGATCAACCTCCAAAACCCTTTCGAGGGCTACAAGAAACGAAGTGAGTAGCCTACAAGATTGAAGCTGGTCAGATAACGAACGAGTAAATGAAAACAGAATGAAGCGGAGAAGTGTGTGTGTGTGTGTGTGTGTGTGTGTGTGTGTATGTGTGTGTGTGTGTGTGAGATTAAAATAGCCCAATTGCTTTTACAATAAATAAACATTGAATGTGTTTAATTGAATAGTAAAGGGGTTTAACGTTAGTGGCAGGTTGTGTGTGAGAGGGAATAAATAAGACAGCCCAATATTTAAAAAAATTGTTGTTCTTTTCCCCCGCATATTTAGCATATTTCGCAACTTTCCGCATATTTCGCAACTTCCCGCAATTTCACCGCATAAAATCACATAAAAACCCCGCATGTTTAATCGCATAATCAAGGATTTTAGCCCGCATAATCAAGGAATTTAGCCCCCATAATCAAGGATTTTAGCCCGCATAATCAAGGATTTTAGCCCGCATAATCAAGGAATTTAGCCGGCATAATCAAGGATTTTTGCCCGCGTTTTTCTGGAGGGTCTATATTTTGTTCTTACAAGGCTTCAGGCTGAGAGCCACAGGCAGTATAAAGATGTCACATTGAGATATGGTTTAACGCTGTATTGGTTTGAGTCTTTTCATGGGATCTGTTGACAGTAGGAAAACTGCAGACAACCTCAAAATGGCCTGGTTGAATAGCTACAGCATCTAATAGATGTCAATTAGTACACCTTGTTGCATTTACTTGTATGAATTTACACACATAGGATTATCCAGTCGAAGGAACACTCCTCTATTGGCAGGCGCTGAAGGATTTGTTTATTTTCATTGCCATTATCCTTGAGGAAGCCTTTTCTATTTCCTGTCATAAATCCCAGTGGTAGAAATAAAGAGAAGAAAAGTGTGTCTCTTACCAGCCTCTGTTTATATTGTATGTGTTATATTCAATGCATCCATGCATATTTAAGATCTTGGCAGGGGAAACCACTCTTTCTTTTCAGTTGGAGAACATGCCTTTTAAACTATCCATTATAATGACACTCTAGGGTTACATTCCTTTCCATATCTCTCCTTTAGCTTTTTTCCTCCATAGGAGACGGTAAAGTGGGTCTTTTTTTAGCTTTTGTGGAAGTCTCCATGGGCGTAAGAAATGCTTCTGGGTCAGGGAGAGAGGAAAGAAAGATGAGAGGTAAAAGAAAGAGAGGGAAAGAGAGAAGGAGATAGACAGAGTGTGTAAAAATGACAGAGAGGAAGTCTGGGCCAACACAGATGCTAAGCCATGTGTGTCTTTCCCGGCATGTAGTGATCAACTGAATGAAGCTGTCAGACGCATATTATCTCATCAAAGGGGTTTTCTTTTCTTAATTCATGCTTTCACCTCTAAATAAGCCTCTTTTATGAAGTGTGTGTGTGTGTGTGTGTGTGTGTGTGTGTGTGTGTGTGTGTGTGTGTGCACAGAGAGCTACAGAGAGTTGTAGGGATGTAAGATTCACAAAGACAAACAAAGAGTGAATGAAACAAAGTGACACACAGGCCACTCTGTTGTTCTTTCATTGAACATCTTCTTCTTTTCACGCTCTCTTTTATTACTGCAAATGTATTTTAAATATATCTAATATGCATCAAGGCACCAATTGACCATGTGTTTGTTTAAGGGGTCACTTATAGTGATGAACCGGTAGCCAAAACATGGCCAGAGGAAGCATAATGAGACAAGGTCATCAAAGGTATCTCCTTAATCAGACTGGCACTGTTGGAGTCCTGGCTTTTTAAAGCTTTGTTTTCTATTTATATATTCTACTGCAGCATCCCCATCAGGCCAATCAGATTAATAATTAAAATGTCAAATCATCAAAACAAAAGGCATCACCCCTCATCACAGTTAACATACAGAGTTAACAATACAACATTGAGGATATTGTTGTTTTTATCATTGCACTGCCTTAGGGTGGTCAGTATAATTTGTAAGCCAGCAGGTTTCATCAACATCAGTGAGACGGTGAGACAGTTATTGGTTTATACGTCTCCTTGACCTTTTACATCTCACCATTTTATAGCACAAACTAAACCGCTTAAGAAATGGCATACAAGACATAACAAATATTTGGGAAAATCCAAGAGCAGGCAATGTTGTGGATCTCATATGTGGAGATGATCATCCAACTCCACAGAGGCACAATACAGTCTACATAAACTTCAAATAGACATGCAGAGTTCTGGACGTGAGGGCTTTTGTTTCAGCTGCTCGGCTAACCTGCTCTTCAGACGAGGGCCAGGTGTGGCAGTGTGCTCGACCCACTTTATCCCCGACCTGCAGACTCTACTCTGCATCACTTCAACACTTTACATCCACTCTGCTCGGCTATTGTCAGTCAACAGGGCTCTTCTCTTTCTCTCTCTGTGATGTCCATCATGATTTTGCCTACAGTATCAGCTGCCTCCAATAATCTACAACATGTACACACGGTATACACGCTCAACAGACAACATTTATCCCCTGCATACACTCTGGCACACAAATAGAGACACCCGACATACATGACCCACTTCATTGCAATGAAGAAGACATGATGTCCGTAGTTTTGTTTTGTTAAAGGACAATAAGTAGATTGTATTAGATGAGTCACATATCCTGTTTAGGCATAATAAAGCGAGAAGCACAGAAAATCCATTTATAAAGCCTCATTAAAACTGAATAGTGTTTGCACTTGCACTGGAAGGGATTAGGAGAGTCTATCAGTTCTACAATAGGTTGGACGGTGATAGATAGGAGTAGATTTTAGATTATTAGCCACCATGAGAGAAGTAGAAAATATGTGTAATGAAAGACAAAGGCAAACACAGAGGAGATGAGAAGGATAAGCATGGCTGGCTGTAGATTGTTTTATGTTATCGTCCCTGATCGTGGACCCTCGTCTTTCAGGGGAAAAAGGTGCAGTAGACGTAGTGTGACACCTCAAAGGAGCAGTCTGGTATGAAAAGATAGCTCAGCAAAGCATGTTACTTTGACACACGCTTTGTTGACATTTCCTTTAAAGCTGCACTACTCAATAGTTGAGATAAATATTACTAAACGTAATGTGAAAGGTGCCACTTAGTTGTAGTTACAAACTCATTTAAAGCCACATTGTGAAGTATTGTCTTGTGTAGTTTGGAGGACTTGTTGCATAAAACACATTTCATAAAAGCCTCATTACCAGGCTAATGGAGATGTCATCTGATAGAGGAGTCTGTGGGAGTTGATGTTTTTTCATAAAGCGTTTTCTTTTATTCTATAAAGTGTTGCTCTACCTTTTTTAAACTATCAAAGACATAATTCAGAAAATGGCAGAGGCATGACAAACCGACCTTGCCGAAATGAGTAAGCACAACATGACTCCAAATCATTTTCTCAAAGCCTCTCTGAAGCTGGTTCAGCTTTAACCGAACACGTTT